AAGGATCTCGCTACTTGTAATAAAGGTATTTTTGAAAATGGCATGATAGAAATGAAATGATGAAAATTTTGAACTTGAGGCATTCTTGTTCAAAATCTTAATCCACGGTAGGACCAATTTGGAAAGAGATCTTTTCTGAATGTCTGGGTGATATGATGATATGTGATATGACATGATAATCATGTTACAGGGAATTCCCTGGTTTGAGACTACGGGTCGTATTCTAGAACTCTACTCAATGCTCAAGTCAGGATTGCAATTGAAACACAAGCACTGGAAATTCGACCCTAATGGCAGGGACTTGAGTATGATTTCGAGTGCTTTAAACCATACTCAAATCCTGACTTGAGCATTGAGTAGAGTTCTAGAATACGACCCTTAGTTATTTGTGTGATTGTCAGGCAAAAAATGGACATCGGCATATGTTTTCCGAAAACTATAATTTGGATCTATTGAATGCTAGACTAAATAGACATTTTTGAAACAAACGCTTACCGTCGTCGATCATATCGTTGCTTAACATCAGGTGAGATTTTATGCGTCAATTTTTCTTTAAAAAATTTTGTTTTTTTGTAACGTATTTACAGCATATTTTCGTAAAGAAACATACTACAATTACTTTAAAGTGATTTCCACTCCCTTCTCCTTGCCGTCCTTTTTTAAGCTGCTTAAAAAAAGAAGTGACACTTGCAGACTTTATTATATAAAAAGTTGCATCAAGCAACTCAGTTTTTAATCAGAACCAGTGCGAAACTAATTAGGGTTTTCACCCTCTGGGGTACCAGCGAATTCAATTAGTTAAGTGCTAACTTCGCAGTTAATTTCATGTAAAGTCACGAACTATTCTGTATTTTTTCTCTTAGTTAGTTAATTTTTTAAAAAGCCTTGAACACCGCCGTGGAGTTGCCAGCTTATTCTACTGGATATCACGGAGAGTGAGCGATGGAATTGCATTATTTTGATTCCGCCTTCCCCTGTCATCATCGGGGGACTAAACGTGCGCTAGGGTTCCACCCCTATGTGGTAGATATTCCCCGAATTCGCACTAAGCGTTTCGCTTCCACATTTGTATGGCGAGCGGCTTGGGAGTGGAATTCCCTGCCTGCAGACTTGTTCCCCGAACGCTATAACTTGGACCTTTTCAAGGTGAGTGTGAATAGGTATTATTTAGGTGTGCATGCTACGTCCTCTACCTCATCGTCACTTTCCATCAGGTGAGATGGACGTCAAATGCGCAGTTGTTTTTTATATAAAAAAAAATTTCACCTCTCAGGGTGGCAAACTAGGCCAACTTAACGCACACTTTCCGGTAACCGATTTCAATAAAACTTTGCAAATAGATGTAATAATTGTACGAACTTTTGAGGTCGATTTTTTTGGAATAAAAAACTTAATAATAATAATAAAGTATTTATTTCTAAGCGTTAGTTCTCAGCAAAACATTAAAACTACTAGTTTCACTAACAGTAGATCCCCTTGTGAAAGGGTTCGTCTAGGGAATTTTCCACGCAGCAATGTCAGCATTTCTGTGTTCCGGTTTTAAAGGGCCAAGGCTAGCATCTACCTTGTCCAAAGAAATATTCTGAAAAACATTGTTTTAATCAAGTTAGTCTACCGTACTTAATGGAATCAATCATTAAATTGATTAAAATGTAATTGAGTCATAAGCCGTGTCAGTCTAATTGGGCTATCATGGCCGACTATTGTCTAGACCCTTGCCTAAGAGACCCGTGTTCAGCAGTGGGATGTATGCAATGGGTTGATGATGACGATGAGTCATTAAGATTGTTGCTGCAATGCTCGAAACGTGTTACAAGTTAAAAAGTTACCTTTTCTTAGAGTAGCATAGCCATAAACAAGGTAGAGAACACTGTCTGTATTTTACGCAGACTGCCATGGCAACCCAATTTCATTAATTTAATATGGCTCTACACATAATACTTAAGCTTTCAATGTATTTTAATACTTAATTGGTACTATGTAAGCATAAGTAGGTAAATGTGTAAAGGTCCTTGTGAAAGAGTTCGTCCATGGTAGTACTGTCACCTTAACTATTTCTACCACCAAGCATTAGTATGAGCATTACTGCGTTCCAGTTTTGAAGGGTACCTAAGGGTGGTCGTGAAATTACAGTCACATGAGACTTGTCAACTTATGTCTCAGGGTGACGGGCGCAGAGACAGTGCCCCTCAGATCTTTGCGATTTAAAGCTCTGAGTGGCACAGCAACTGTTATGGACAGGCGTATAGCTTACCATCAGGCGCACGACTTGTTCGTCCCGTCACTTGATATCGTAAAAAAAAAAACCTGTAACATGAGAGTCAGTGTCCCGCTGTGTCTTAATTAACAACCTTGTCACAAAAAAAGAATTATAATTATTTCGATTATCATTTATAGGTTCTCGCCTCTCCAATGTATTTTAAATGGGTATTCCCCGGCAATGACACAGTAGCCCGGGGTCAGGGACTGTTATTAATAGGGTGGCTTTATTTAGGGCCGGTGCAGACCTTCATCACTACGACCAACAATTGGTCTATTGTTATCACCATTAATTACTGCTCGGAACCAAGTGTAACACCATTAAGGTGAGGTTTCCCGAGCCTACATTTTGCCTCCCCGCAACTCTCGCCATTAATATTAATATGAATAAAATAAGAAGAGATGGAAAAAAATTGACATAGATTCGACGTTGACGAAGCGCCCGATGGTGACTGACGGGGGCAGCGGGTGGTTCGACGTGTCGTTGACCTGGTGGGCAATTTTCAAATTTTGGGATAAATGTACTACAGGGTGTTAGTTGAAAACCAAAATTTAGCAGGTTCTTTGTAGTACTTAAAACGAAATATCTCCATATAAAAATTATATCGCACTGCTACTACAATATTGTTGTATCTCAAAATATGTGAAATTCAAGATTATCTCATTGCTGAACGTCAATTTTGATTCTCTACACGCTGATAAAACCATCGGTAGAATATTGTAAAAAACAATTAAAATATACCTACTTAACTCAAAATGAAATTAAACTTTATGTGAACTAGTTCTGGACAAAATAGTCCTTACCCAAAAATATTAAGTTATTTTTCCCTTTTATTTTTGAATATATTTTGCTAGTAGGAAATTGTTTAGATGTCTATAAGAAACTTGAACCCATGCATAAATTTTAATGACCTTTCACGGGAAATGCGTTCATTTTTCATCGATTCTGAAAAAATGCACTTTTCGAGTTAATACACTATTCGATATGCAAAGTTGGACACTATATTTCGAGTTCTTAGGTTTTCGCGATTGTTACACATAGGAAATGAAACTATTTTTCCGGATTTAAATCGCGTATATTTGTTTTTTCAAACAAACCGACGTTTCGGGCCCTTTACAGGTCCCATGGTCACGGTTGACTGACAGTCAACTGTGACCATGGGATACCATGGGACCATGGGATACGCGATTTAAATCCGGAAAAATAGTTTCATTTCCTATGGACGCTACATTTTAAAATAATTAGTTTTAGTTTTTAATTTTAGCCTGTTTTCAGGATTGTATATGGTCAGATAAAGTTCATCATGTCGTACCCTTAGGTGTATTGTATATTTTTTGTGAGACCATTATTTAATAGTAAATATTTCATTTGATATAGCAAAACAGTTTTATCGCTTCTTCTCCGATGACTCGCCTTAATAAACTGAACGATTGTATTGATTCTATGGTTTCAATGACGTGGCTGTGGCGAAAGTATTGTATAACACCTACGTACGCAGCAAACTAGAATAAGTAGTTATAGTTTGGAATCTTCATGAAGGCAAATATTCTATCATAGGTGAACGAATTCAGAACTAATAACGCACACACTTATACCCCCGCACTAGGGAAACTCTATGCGGGTGCCATTGACACACAAATTACACCCAAACTCATAAATGTAGGTCATACAAATACTTCTCCCGGCCCAGGAACCGAAGCCGGGGTCTCTATAGACCAGCTTGGTAACCGCCCGGCTGCGGAGGCAGTTATGGGTAAAGGTATTTTTTATTTTATTTTTCTTTTTTCAAAATAACAACAACCACCATAATAAAAAGATCCTTTTCTTACAGACATTGGTAAAATTGGGGTCAATTACAGTTATCCACTAACGCATAGTTGGATAACAGACTAGAGTGAATAGGCATTTTTTAGGCAAACGTGTCCCATCGTCGCTTACATCAGGTGAGATTGTGGCCAAGCGTCTGTCTATTATACATTAAAAAAAGGCGAACTATGCTTTTTCTGGCTCATTACATTTCCGTGTTCCATCATAAAGACTGTAATGATGTAATGTCTAAGGTGTATCTGCTGGTGCCCGCGCGTATACCTTGGGTTGATGAGGGTGCGGTGGCCCCTCAACAAACGGCACTGCAATTTGACGTTTTAGTATATTAATATTATTTTGTATTTTTACATATATATTAATAGAGATAAAAAAATAAAAATACAACAATCAGTAGAAAAAAGTGAAAATATTTGCAACGACCCTTTGAAAATATGTTTGTGCAAAACGAACTGATAATTGTGCTCAGACATTAATTGTGAATGGAATAAATAATTAACTTGTTATTTACTCACTTCTTTTGCAGCGCGTTTGTTTGTGAACATTTTAAGGTTAAATGAAAATTTAACTAACTACGTGCCACGAGAAACTTTACAATGTTGCGAAAAGTTTGTGAACCACTGTTCGAAACTTTCTCCCACATTTTGGTTTTGCCAAATTAATATTGTAATGAAAATTATAAGAAATGTTTTAGAACCACAGCTCATTACCTGGGTTCCGTAAAATTCCTCCCATTGTGCAATTATTAGTTTTTCATATAATGTTTTTCTTCTGTTCCAGATGTTTGATGGAAATTGTCTTCACCATGAACAGTAAAACAGACCCAAAAATCTTTGAAAACAAAAGAAAATGACCTCAAACACACCAACAATAAGACATTTGAAACCGCAATTAAAAACAAAACGAAATAACCCAAAGAAATTCAAAATGAAACAAAGTTTAGTGAAATTCACAACAGTACTGTTCATTGCTACGTTGCCTTATAGTTCAACTTTGTCTATGCCAAGCGGTGACCCGGCGCCTGGTCGTTCTCCAGGGCCTCCTCGGGGTGACAAAGTAGACGATTCGATATCAACAACAGACACTGTCTACGATGATACCACCATAAGTGAAGTGGAAGTAACAACTGTTAGTGACACTAGTGATATTGACGCGTGTGCCTTTGCGAGGATTCCGAGTGACAGTGATGACATTGTCACCGTTAGTGAACTGGACAGTGATGTGAATTTGACCGTCAGCCATCCTGTGTTCGATACTGAGGAGCTGGTGAGAGGCGTTGTTTATGATGGTAAGTGACTTTATCCCTTTTTGAAATAGCGTAGTCCACTAAACTAATTCAGTAACCTTTGCAAAGACAACTCATATTTGGATTTACAATGGAAAAAATGGTGAGAAATTAAAGTAGTTTTTATTGCATACACAACACAGTTGTAAGAAAATGTGACCATTTAAATTGTACTCGTAAAATAAATAGCATTTCAATACATCCAATAAAACTCAAATTTCGACTTGTAACAGACACTGTAGCAAAGATACTTAGCGAAACCAGAAATGACGTTTTTGTAGATCTCTCAAGATAATGAAAAGTTTAATTTGTTTTTATTGTATACTCAAAAAAGTTGCAAAAGAACGTGATAGATAGTGATGATTTAAATTAGGATAATGTAGAACATTTCAAATTTTGGACTACAGTAGCTATCTCGAAAATAACTTTATTCTCTCTTAATGACGTCATAGAAATCGAACGCCAAACGAAAGTCGGCCATTAAAACGCAAGTGCTTGTTTCGCTTCAAGAATTATTCCTTCTCAAGTGTCTCAGAACTGCAGGAAAGTAATTACTTCAGTTCTTGCAGCACTACGTCCATCCGTTAATGTCAACGCTACAACGCGGAGATAAAAAGTGATAATTTCCAGTTGGAGTTATAATTAATGTGAACTATATAACGTATGCAGTCGACACAACAAACATTTTCAGATCAAAACGAGAATGTTCTTAACAATGTTTGGGGACCGCAGTGAGAAGAATTGGAGCGATTGTATGAAAATATTGATGAAGTAGGAAAGGTTCGCCAGGTCAGTCTACGCCAATGAGAATGTAGGGACTTGAGTATATGTACGTATATAGAATTCCTAGGTTTCCGCGATTTATCGAAATGTACTAAAGGCTTGTCTAAGCGCGTTTGTGCACTGTGTACAATCCATATACGAGAATATACAAATCGAAATCGCTTTTCGAAATTCGAAATTTTTTAAATTGAAATCTATTACGATCGTCACTTATAGGATCGCTGTCCAGTACAACTTCCACCTCCGGCAAGCTCGCGTCAAAGCTCAATGCAAAACAAAGCAGTTTCGAGTTGGGGCTATATTAAGTAAACATTTTTATTTCGGTTTTATTAAAACTTTTTAATCAGTTACCCCTTGCAATACTAGTTATAAATCTAAAAACTTATAGTTGCGACTCGCATTTGATTATATTTTTGTCGATAATTAATTGAGATTTCACTTCACTATTGTAATCTGTCAAAACGGCCATCGTAGCGTGCCGGTCATTGTAGTTACTTTGGTCCGTGAAAATAATAAGATAAATTTATTTTAATATAACTTAATCTAATATACAATAATACATGAATAACAAATGTAAATAAAGCTATTATAGTTTTAAATTAGGAAAAGGAAAGGAACCTAAATTATATACAATCTATGAAATTTAATTAATCTAGTAAAGCTATAAAATTTAATATTACAATCTAACGTGTAATTGCGATGCCTAATCTAAAAAGTACATGTGCAACTGTATTTTGCGCATATTTCTTTATATTACAGCTTGGAAACAGATTATCTATATTTAACAATAAAATAATTACCTTTACAGCTACCAGTCCTGGCGAGAGATGTCGCTATTCACTGTATTGATTAAATTTTTATTGAATTGATATTCAATTATTCATTATTAACGACTAAAAAGTCGTTGAAAGATCAAGTACGAAGACACGACGCAAGCACATAGAAAAATTCGTGAGGTCTGTTGGTTCGTTCCGTGACTTAGTTGGTATAGCGTCTGGCACGGTATGCAAGAAGACGTCGGTTCGAATCCGACCGGATCGAAGGAATTTTTTCTGAGTGTTTTTTCTGAGTGTTCGATCTTTGTATTAATAATTACAACATTTAAATTCCTCTGAATTGAATATCAATTCAATAAAAATTTAATTAATAAAATAATTCTTCTTCTTCCTATCCTGTACCACGCTAGATTAACAATAAAAGAATTAGTAGTCATAATTATAAATTAATGGTTATATAAATATTATAAAACAACTTCCAGCAAGCCCTCTGTTTCATTGTAAGTTTTACGCATAGGCCCGGATTTGATTGGTCTTTTTACATTCTATTTCATTCATGGCGAAATAATGCAAAGTAGAATTTAATTTAAAATTAAGGAATGTAATAAGGAAGCAAAATAATGTATGTGAGTGTGCTGTATGGAGTTGTTAAAATAACGGAATCAAATGGAGTAATTCTGTGCTTTTTCAAAATTATTTGGATAAACAGTTGCCGAACAGAGAGGACATCGCACTCATTTAAAAGTTTGCGTGTTGAATAATCGAAAGGACGGAAATTGATGACTTTAAGAACAGGTCTCTGCGCTCCTTCCAGGTTTAACAGGTTTGTAATGATCCCATTTGAAGGTATTTATACGTGTAGATACGTTCACATTAAGATAGTTTGAGTAATACTGATGTACTGATTCGATCGATTGCAATTAGGGATTAATTAATTTATTACAAAAAACAAACTAGATAATTCCTTCTCCAAAACTAACAAAAAGTTCTCGATATCAGGGATAGATGGCATGTTCCATAAAAAAAAATTGTGCCTGAGTTATCAGGACATGGTTTACATTAACTCAGTTTTCTTTTATTATGGTTAACGTATTGCTTTTGGACCTCATATTATAAAAAATGTTTTCCTCTGAACTCTCACGTCACGTCACTACCCACGGCACCATTAAGGCTTTTTGTGTTTATTTTTAGGTAATAATACACAGACTACATTTTATTCAA